GATGGTTGGGCAGTCACTCTTATATGAGGGATGGTGTAGGTGGGGCGGATGCGGCACAGTCAATAAAAGTTTGTCACATGACCAATGATTCCGGGAAGTAAAAGGGGCTTTTAGCTTAGACATTCTTTTAAATAAAACTAACATAGTAATTACTCATCGGGTTTGGGGTATTTCCCAGAAAGGAGTTTTCATTTTTTAATCATCTTTGAACACTTTGCATATACCTATAAAAATGGTTAGTGTATGACATCATAAGAAAGTTTAATCTTTCCAAAAATCTAGTTTACTTGTATGAACTAAAGGGTACCATTCACATTTTTGTGTTGCAGTAGCATGGTAAAACACAATGAAGTACAGCACACTACAAATAACGTGTTGTGGTGTTGATCCCTTGGGAAAAACAGGGTCAAGTCTATTTTTCTTTGGGCCCTAATAGTGTCTAGGGGCTTGTTTTTGTTTGAAACTAAGCAAAGGGCAACAGAAACCATTGTCACAAAGGTTTTCATTATATGGTACAATAGTTTTTCATTTGGAACTGCCTAATCCACTACTCTGGTTAGAGAGTGGCATGCATTAGCAAATTAAGGAGACCCACAAGAAATGCTGTTGGAAAGCATTGACCTGTTTATTTTCCCATAGAAAGCTCAGGATTGCTTAAAGCCTACTTGGTGGATGCCAAGAAAAATGTTATCTTGTACCTGTGATTAAAACTGTCACAGGTTTCAAGTTTCTGAAACTTGTGTTCACATTATGAATTTCTGTATTTCGATAAACTATCTGAATATCTTTTTTTATATAAAGAACTGTAGCTGCAGAAACTTTCTGATAGCATTTGTGTTTACATAGAGGTTTGCAAAATAAATGTTCACTTGATCACACTTTGCCCTTTAACAGCATATCCAAGGCCTATTTTTACCATTTTCTATAATGTTTTTATACAGGCCTGGACAAATTTCACCCAGAACTAGAAGCCACCTTTTAAAACCTAGAAGCAAGACTATTTACCTGTCCACTTTCTGTGTCCTGAGCTCCTGCCTCTCACTGATAGTACTATAGTGCTCATGTTGGACAGACGATCACTCCGCCCAACAGAACAGCATAGCAGGGTGCAGGACGGGATGTTCCAACATTCAGCTGACAGTGGGGCACAGCCCAGATCTGTAGGATGCTGGGATTTTGTTAATCTTGAGGTGGCCACTCAATGTGTGGGAGTGCTAGGAGGTAGCACTTAGTGCAAACACCAAACATTGTAACACATGCAACATTGTGGATTAGCCCTTTAAAAACATACATGCTACAAAATATGTGTGCAAATTATACATGTCCATGATAAAGACGCTCTAATAAACGTTAAAATGGCAGAATGTTCCCAAAAAAAAAAATAAAACCATCCGTGACAAATACGCAGCTTATGGATTGTGGTCATTTATTTTTTAGTTATCTGGTAAAGTAAACATGTAGATATTTTGAGAGGTTTATTAGTATATCCAGCACAAATAGAGGCAAGGGGTGTCTAAATAAAGGAAAGATTCAAAATCTCGTGCCTGTTATCGGTGTACTTCATGGGATCCTCAGATTTTCCAGGATCCAGTGAGAATGCCAAGTGATGCCCCCCTCACCATGGCGAAGCAGCCTCTTTTTGGGTAATGTTATAACACTAGCTATTTAGTATGAGAAAGGGTTGGGTGTCTGCTAGATAACCCTTAGTTATTGCAAGGTCTGCTTCAAAAGAAAGCCAACTGGTAAGATGCAAAATACAGGAACAGGATTCTGTTGGTAAGAATGAACTCCTAAAGCTGGATGACCATGAAATGTCAGCACTTTTATTTTTTTAATTAAAAAAATTAGTTCAAGGAAATTTTGCTTATTAGGAAAACACTGACAATGGATATCTTGTATAGTTGTATTATATGGATATCTTGCATAGTTTGTAGATGAATTCACTTATTCTAAGTTGACCATTACTTCCTTTGCTGCTGTTATTGCAAGGGACATTCACTCACATTTCGCCGTAGGTCCTTGATGGTTGTTAACCACAGGAGCTGTGGGCTCTTCAGCTGCCTAATACGTATCAGTATATACCACCCCACCCCTCCCCTTCACATGCATCACAAGTGTCCAACTGGCGGCCCTCCAGCTATTGCCAAACTACAAGTCCCATGAGGCATTGCAAGATTTACAGTTACAAGCATGACTTCCAAAGGTAGAGGCATGATGAAACTTGTAGTTTCACAACAGCTGGAGGGCTGCCAGTTTGACACCCCTGACATACATGTACAGATCACCTACAAAGACACCACCACCTATGTGTACCTGACCTGCTTGTGCTGCCTGCTACCCCACCTCCTTTCTAGCACTGACTTCCACATACAACTGAGAGTGCTTTCCACAAATATGATGTCCTCACCTGAGGTGCAGACATATCCAGGCTGTTGCTAGGTTATGCCGTTTGGCTCACCAGAGCATTAAACTTTAGTGCTCGCTGACTGAACATTTCCACTAAAACCAATTTTACATGACCTTTATTCAAGCACTAATGATAGAAAACATTAGCTCAGAGAAAGTTACAAGGGCACACCAACATCAGCAGACATTTTCTATACTTGCTTGAAAAAAGGAAACTAATGCAGCCAGCATACTTTAGCTAAAGACTAGTAAGCTGCAATGTGTTTTGTTTTCTAGGTTTAGAGAAATTTTAACTATTAACTAGGTAATCCAAAACTATCCCTAGTCTATCAAAGATGGCTTTGCATGCATTTTAAAGAGGAACTCCAGGAAAAAAAATGTTTACAGTGCATTCCCCAGACATACTGCATTTTTAATTGGATGAGATAGATTGAGTAGCTGGTTGGTGGGGTATACTATAATGAGACAATTATAGCTGTGGGAGAGGGATACAAAATAAGTGGGACACATATAAAAATTTGAAGTTACTAAATTAGACACTCCCAAAAAATCTCTTTGAAGTACAGTTAAAGCTGCCTGAAAAGTAAACTTGAAAAAACAGTGTGTGTATATGTGTGTATGTATGTACAGCAGTGGCCAAAAGTTTTTTGAGAATTGTTACTATGGTATACTGAAGTATAATTACAAGCATTTCATAAGTGTCAAAAGCTTTTATCGACAATTACATTAAGTTAATGCAAATAGTCAATATTTGCAGTGTTGACCCTTCTTTTTCAAGGCCTCTGCAAATTGCATGCTATCAATCAACTTCTGGGCCACATCCTGACTGATGGCAGCCCATTCTTGCATAATCTATGATTGGAGTTTGTCAGAATTTGTAGGGTTTTCTTGTTCACCCGCCTTTTGAGGATTAACCACAAGTTTTCAATGGGATTAAGGTCTAGGAAGTTTCCTGGCCATGAACCCAAACTTTCAATGTTTTGTTCCTTAAGCCACTTAGTTATCACTTTTGCCTTATGGCAAGATGTCCCATCATGCTGGAAAAGGCATTATTCGTCACCGAACTGCTCTTGGATGGTTGGGAGAAGTTGCTCTTGAAGGATATTATTGTGCCATTTTTCATTCATGGTTGTGTTCTGAGGCAGAATTGTGAGTGAGCCCACTCCCTTGGCTGAGAAGCAACCCCACACATGAACGGTCTGAGGATGCTTTACTGTTGCCATGGCACAGGACTGATGGTAGCGCTCACATTTTTCTTCTCTGGACAAGGTTTTTTTCTTATGCCCAAAACAATTGGAAAGGGGATTCAGCAGAGAAATGACTTTACCCCAGTCCTCAGCAGTCCAATCCCTGTACCTTTTGCAGACTATCAATCTGTCCCTGATGTTTTTCCTGGAGAGAAGTGGCTACCCTTCTTAACACCAGGCCATGCTCCAAATGTCTTTGCCTCACTGTGTGTTCAGATGCCCTCACACCTGCCTGCTGCCATTCCTGAGCAAGCTCTGCACTGGTGGTGCTTGTAGCTGATTCAACTTTAAGAGACTGTCCTGGTGCTTGCTGGACTTTCTTAGGCACCCTGTAGCCTTCTTCACAACCTCTCTTCTTGAATTTCTTGATTCGATAAATAGTTGATTTAAGTGCAATCTTAGTAGCAGCAAAATCTTTGTCTGTGAATCCCTTTTTGTGCAAAGCAATGATGACTGCACATGTTTCCTTGCAGGTAACCATGGTTAACAGAGGAAGAACAATGGCTTCAAGCACCACCCTCCTTTTTAAAGCTTCCAGTCTGTTATTCTAAATCAGTCAGCATGACAGAGTGATCTCCAGCCTTGTTCTTTGTCAACACTGACACTCGTGTTAAGGAGAAAATCACTGACATGTCAGCTGGTCCTTTTATGACAGGGCTGAAATGCAGTGGAAATTTTTTTTTTTGGGATTACGTTCATTTTCATGAACTGAGGGACTTTGCAATGAATTTGCAATTCATCTGATCACTATTCATAACATTCTGGAGTATATGCAAATTGCCATAGTAAAAACTGAGGCAGCAAACGTGAAAATTAAAATTTGTGTCATTTTCAAAACTTTTGGTCGTGTGTGTAATATATATATATATATATATATATATATATATATATATATATATATATATATTTTTTTTTTTTTTTTTTTTTTTTTAATTTATTACACACACTATATTGCCAAAAGTATTGGGACACCCCTCCAAATCAATTGGATTCAGGTGTTCCAATCACCTCCATGGTCACAGGTGTATAAAATCAAGCACCTAAGCATGCAGACTGCTTCTACAAACGTTTGTGATACAATGGGTCACACTCAGGAGCTCAGTGCATTCAAGCATGCCACCTGTGTAATAAGTCCATCCGTGAAAATTCCTTGCTACTGAATAAAATTTGCTTGCTACTTCATATTCCACGGACAACTGTTAGTGGTATTATAACAAAGTGGAAGCAACTGGGAACGACAGCAACTCCGCCATGTAAAATGACAGAGCGGGGTCAACGCATGCTGAAGCTCCAAGTGCGCAGAAGTCGCCAACTGTCTGCTGAGTCAATAGCTAAAGACCTCCAAACTTTGTGTCGCCTTCAGATTAGCACAACAACCGTGTGTAGAGAGCTTCATGGAATGGGTTTCCATGTCCGAGCAGCTGCATCCAAGCCTTATATCACCAAGTGCTATGCAAATCGTTGGATTCAGTGGTGCAAAGCACGCCGCCATTGGACTCTAGAGCACGTTTTTTCTGGAGTGACGACTCATGCTTCTCTGGCAGTCCGATTGACGTGTCTGGGTTTGGCGGTTGCCAGGAGAACGGTACTTGCCTGACTGCATTGTGCAAAGTGTAAAGTTTTAGAGGGGGCATTATGGTGTAGGGTTATTTTTCAGGGATTGGTCCCTTAGTTCCAGTGAAGGGAAAGTTCAAGGCATCAGCATACCAAGACCTTTTGGACAATTTCATGCTCCCAACTTTGTGGGAACAGTTCCAACATGACTGCGCACCAGTGCACAAAGCAAGGTCCATAAAGACAAGGATGAGCAAGTTTGGGGTGGAGGAACTTGACTGGCCTGCACACAGTCCTGACCTCAACCTGATAGAAAACCTTTCGGATGAATTGAAGTGGAGACTGCGAGCCAGGCCTTCTCGTCCGACATCAGTACCTGACCTCACAAATGCACTTCTAGAAGAATGGTCAAACATTCCAATAGACACACTCCTAAACCTTGTGGGTAGCCTTCCCATAAGAGTTGAAGCTGTTATAGCTGCAAATGGTGGGCCAACTCAATATTGAACCCTACGGACTAATACTGGGATGTCATTAAAGTTCATGTGCGTGTAAAGGCAGGCCTCCCAATACCTTTGGCAATATAGTGTGTGTGTATATAATTATAAATATATATAATTATATATATATATATATATATATATATATATATATATATATATAAAATATTTCAAATTTATAACCTGTGTAGGATGTATATACTTGCCTATTTTTCAAACCGGTCACGTGATCCAACTCCCCCGTGTCAGTCACAGCGGCTTCAGGTGAGAGGAGGGAGCGCTGACAATGGATGGTCTGTAGTTTTACTAACCATTGTTGGACCGCTGTCTCTTCTCCCTGCTGCTGGCTCACACAGGAAAGATCATGTGACTGGAGTGGCTTGAAAATAGGTAAGTATATACATCTTTCTAACACAGGTTAATTAGCATAGCTGTTAGAGGGGGGACAGTTTAAAGGCTAGTTAGGTGTAAGCTGGAATTCTACTTTTAGGTCCTCTTTCCCTTCTCTCCTTATCTATTACCTTCCATCTGATTTTTTTTTTTTTTCCTCACCATTAAAGTAGAATTCCAAGATCACTCTAATCTTAAATATACTCCTTCCCCCTCCTAACACCTGTGCTTACTAACCTGTGTAAGAAAGATACATATACTGTACTTACTATTTTTATTCCACTTCACTCTGGTCACGTGATCTGGCTTCCCAGCATAGGCACTGCTGCTGCAGGGGAAATGAGGGAGCACCAATAAGGGCTGGGCCATAGTATGTTTATGGGTGATGTCACCACTCAGACATTACTAGCCGTTGTCAAGTGATCTCCTCTCCACTGTAGCCGGCCATAGGCTGACACTGGAGAGATCGCATGACTGGACCAGAGCAGCATGAAAATGCTTTTTTTTTTTTTTTTTTTTTTTTTTTTTTTTTCAATTTTAGTGGGGTTTTTTTAAAACTAAATTGAAATTTTAATTTAGAATTTTACAATGCTTTATACAAGAAGCAAACAGGACAAATTATGGAATAAAATCTACAGTAATGCTGTTTTTTTTTGACTAGCAAGTACAAAACAATGCATTTTTTTTTTTTTTTTTAAACTTTGTCTAATGGATTTCTTAAAAAAAGGTTTGCACAGTATCATGAAAGATAATCCTTTACCTGTTCTTAAAAAAAAAAAAAAAAAGTATTAAAGAAATAGCAGTTATTGTAAACAAGCAGGCTCATAACAGAAATGCAAACTTTGTTTTAGTTCATAGGGGTGTACAGAGCTGAAGTGGTTAAGTGAAGCTCATTCAAAAGAACTGGGGAAGGGTTCAGGCAACTGTCAGGATGGTCATGGCTGTACTTGCTGGGGAGATTTTCCTAACTTTCTGTCTTTTTTGTCTTTGAGATAATACAGGAAGTGTACACAGAACATCTCTGAATTTCTGGCAAGATCAAAAGAAAGTTGCAATGCACTGCATTTAAAACACATAAAACATGTATGTAAATGTGTATTAAAGCATATCTCAAATGCATAGACACAATAACATCCTTGATTCAGCATCAACATTATTATATCAAATTAATATGCTTGAAATCATACATAAATACATGTGGAATTGTGTACAGACTGTGCTTTCTGCCTTGCAGTGCTACATATTGTATGAGGTTTTTTCTTTATTGGTTTATCTCACAATGGAATTCTGAGTTGTCCAGTTCACTTCCCTGTGAATAGCTGATCTCTTATCTTAACAGTTAGGCAGAATCATGGTAATTCTGTAACAGAGGTATGAAAGAATATGCTTGTAAATGTGAAATGTGAAACTTTCATCAAAAATATTTCGGGTAAACTTTGCAAAAATAGCTCAAACGCATGGGCAGTACAGTGGCTAAGTAGTTAGCACTTCCTTCTAGCAGCACTAGGGTTGTTGGTTCAAACACCAACTACGGCACTACCTGCCTGGATTTTGCCTGTGCCTGTATGGGTTTCCTTCGGGTACTCCTGTTTCCTCTCACATTCCAAAACACGGGCTAGTAGGCTTAATTGGCTCCTGTTTAAATTGGCCCTAGTATGTGTATGTATGAATGTGAGTTAGGGACCTTACATTGTAAGTTACTTGAGGACAGGGAATGTACAATATATACGGTATGTAAAGTATCTGTAATAATGCTGCATAAGTATCTGTAATAATAAAAAAATAAATAAACGGTGTGCTTGCATTATAATGTTTTTATCAACTTTATTTGTTCACACAAGCATTTAATTTTAATGCTGCCTTTAATGTGCACTAACTTCCCTTTTGGCGGTTTAATGTTTTTTTAGATATGTTTAAGTTGTGTCAAGCAACACTCCGAAAATGCCCTCTGTGCTATATTTGTTTTTTTGGGGGTTTTTTTGGTGCTCTGCTCATCCTGATCAGTTCTAACACTTTACAGCCATATCTTGAACATTCTTTAAACATTATAGGTGTATTTAAAGCAGAACTCCAGTTAAAAATGTTATGCAGTGGGGTTGTTCCTGCAATGCTTGGGTTAAGTGCTCATTGTGTTTAGGGGCTCATGTAAAAGCTGTACTTATTAATTCCTCCGATCTTCTGGAAAGCCGCACTCCCCCACGTCCAGTGTGGACTGTTCCTGCCATCCTCACGTCCTAAGCCAGTCTATGGGTGTGATGACATCAGGAACAGCCCATTTACAAGATCGCTAGTGCATGGGGGGCAGCAGCGGCGGGGACCAGTCTTGCACTTGGCAGATTAGGTAAGTATGTCTTTGCTTTCTGAGCCTCTAGACAAAGATGAGTGTTTAACCCATGCAGTACGAGCACAGCCCTACTGCATGGGAAAATATTAATTGGTACTTGTCTGTTAATTCACCGGATTTATTTACCGTATTTGCCGGCGTATAAGACGACTTTTTACCCCTTAAAAATCTTCTTAAAAGTCGGGGGTCGTCTTATACGCCGGTATACGGCATACTGACACTTTTTAGGGGGGGGGGCGCGGCCGCCGCGTTGCCGCCGCCGCCCCCCCCCCTTCCCCCAATGGAAGGGACACTAAGTACAGGGGTGGGCAGCGGCTGTTTCTTACCTGGTTCCGGTCCCACGACGATCCGGTCCAGGAAGCGCGGCTGCGCCTTCACTTCAGTCACTGGATGTTCGTGCGGCTGCTCGGCTCCGCCTCCTCACCAGTGATTGGCCGCCAGAACTGTAGCTCAGGAAAGGCACACAGGCGGCCAATCACCGGCGAGGGGGTGGAGCCGAGCGGCCCCCCGCGAAAATCGAGTGCAGGACCAGCAGGTAAGTGGTCAGTGTAGAGGTGCTGCGGCAACCACATATGCTGGCTGCAGCAGCACCATACGAGAACAGGGTCAGCAAGTGTCAGTGGGAGGAATAGTGCCCCATCATTGGTGTCACTGATACCAATGATGGAGCACTATTCCTCCCACTGATACCAATGATGGGGCACTATTCCTCCCACTGACACCAATGATGGGGCACTATTCCTCCCCCCCACTGACACCAATGATGGGGCAATTCCTCCCCCCCCCACTGACACCAACGATGGGGCACTATTCCTCCCCCCCACTGACATCAACGATGGGGCACTATTCCCCCCCCCCACTGACACCAATGATGGGGCACTATTCCACCCCCCACTGACACCAATGATGGGACACCATTCCTCCCACTGACACCAATGTTGGGACACCATTCCTCCCACTGACACCAATGATGGGGCACTATTCCCCCCACTGATACCAATGATGGGGCACTATTCCCCCCACTGATACTAATGATGGGGCACTATTCCTGCCACTGATACCAATGATGGGGCACTATTCCCCCCACTGATACTAATGATGAGGCACTATTCCTGCCACTAATGCCAATGATGGGGCACTATTCCTGCCACTGATACCAATGATGGGGCACTATTCCTGCCACTGATACCAATGATGGGGCACTATTCCTGCCACTGATACCAATGATGAGGCACTATTCCTGCCACTAATGCCAATGATGGGGCACTATTCCTGCCCTGATACCAATGATGGGGCACTATTCCTGCCACTGATACCAATGATGGGGCACTATTCCTGCCACTGATACCAATGATGGGGCACTATTCCTGCCACTGATACCAATGATGGGGCATTATTCCTGCCACTGGTGTGCATTGGAAGAGGGTAGTCTTATACGGCGAGTATAGCTCAAACACTAAATTTTAGCAGGAAAAGTAGGGGGGTCGTCTTATACGTCCAGTCGTCTTATACGCCGGCAAATACGGTACTTGTCAACATAGCAATTCACTAGATTTATTCACTTGTCAATATAGTTAACATAGTTTAAAAGTTTTATTTAAATATATATAAAATTATATATAATATATATATATAAATCCGGTGAATTAACAGACAAGTACCTAATAATTTTGCCCA